TATTTGCGTTGTGTTTAACGTTTGTATATATAGATATAGAGCTTTTTTCTTGGTCTGTATCTGCAGAGCGGAGCGGTAAAGAATGCCATGTCAGATGCTCATGTGCTAGGCATATGACTCCGCGGACCGTGTATGAGGCAGAGGATTTTGAGCCCGGACCCTTCCTACAGCCAGTCAGCCCAGAGTCTTTAGGGTAACTTGCACTTTGCATTCCGAGATGTATAGCTTCGTACTACACGATGGTTTCCTTAACCCGCGTCGTTAAGAACAGTCTCGGGTATAGCGTAAACCCGGGATAAGAAATGCGTAGCGTCTACACGAGCACCTCCCGCCTCCACCCTTGAGCCGGTTCTGCACACGAAGATGTTTCTATTGTTCTATTGTCTATTAAGTGCGACTATGGCTTCACTATTGCCGCCTATTCGCAGGCGTTAAGAAAACTATGCGCATAACCCCAAAAACACGGGGTTAGCAGCGTAATACATGACGCTTAACCGGGACAGCTCTTAAAGCCGGTTAGTTAACCTTCCTACATCGCGGGGTTACACTAACCACTAATTTTTAAAAAACCGCGTTAAGACGATTATCCCGGGTTAGCGCCCTCATGTAGATGCTTAACACGGGAAAAATCCTCGTGTAGACGGAGCGCTTATGTTTTAAATGTCCAGTAAATGCATAGCATGATATGCGTGAGAGGACAAAAAAGAGTAAAGCTTAAAACCAAAGTGATTATTCCGGTATGCTTATTTTGCAGTGCAACCCCTGCTTGTCAGCTAGCCTGTTAACATTACCTTGACCAAGCTCTTGCGAATCTCTGCTGAAACAGTCAGCATTGTGTGTTAGGACTATTAAATCACACCGTTTGTTTTTAGCTTGAAAGTCGAAAGGTTTCTGTGACCGGTTGAAAACAGTGCATTGTAACATAAAGAAGTCGCAAGGCAAGAATTAACGAGGAAGCTGAGCGAGCAGCTCATTATTCTAACGAAATCTACCAGTCGATCCCATGAATAAGAGTGAGCTTCCTCATTCTAGCAGAATTGTATCACTCGGCTTTACATGGCCTGTTGTGATTGTGATGGTTGTTCTTAGTACATTAATTATCACATCTGAGTTAGCGTGTGTCCACGATTACATGAGTATCTTTTCTGCTTTGACTTTTATCTTCTTCGATGTGTGCAGGTTTGTTGATGTCAGCTGTACAGGAGTTATTCGTCGGTTTAACTATTTTTATTTGTGTTCCAGGTTGTATGAACAGGAGCTGCATATCGTAAACACATTGAAAACAATAGTAGAGGTATGGTGGCTAACAGTAGAGTGTGCTATGCTTATGAAAGTTACGGTAGCATTTTGGGCAAGCTTCCAGTGCTCAATAAAATAATGTATATAATATATTAATATAAGTAATGTATAAAGTTTAATTAAAAAAAAGCGTTATTTTTAATTAAATATCTTAATTAATTTAAATTGTTTAATAGTTTGTTGAAAAGTAATATTTTTTTTATTGGTCTGTAAATGTTGCCCTGCCACATAAAAGTGATAGGTTTTGCCTCAAAAGCTAACGGAACACTCTTTCTTACATTTATTATTGATAATATAAGCGTCTGTCATAGTTTTGCCCATTAAACAAAGCATTTCATTTATTCAGAATGGAAAAATACGCGTGTTGATACATATTGCTCAAGAACCAGAAAACAAGAAGCTAAGCTATTTATTTCTCCAATGAAACTCAAATTTGGCCAGTCTTTGAGTCTGCGTTTTTTAATAGCCCCTCAGCATAGAAATGTAATAATACGACGCATACGTGCAGTTCATTCATGCAAAGAACAGTTTAATCGTTCACGCCGAGTTACGTGCGTAGTAGAGTGCGTTAGAGTGAGAGACGTATGAACACCTACAATGGTGACGCCAAAATCGGCGGTCGTTAGTAGCCTGGTGATCGTTTTAGTAGGCGTCCATAGCATGCATGCGGCCGCATGCTACGCACGTGTGGTTGCCAACTCTCTACATGAGCCCTGTGTGAACTGTTTGTTCCATGTTTTTGTCACGTTCGCGCTTAGATCTGGCATGTATGGTACAAGCTGTTGAAGCGTGTGATGAGGGCCGCGCTGGAGGCTGATGTCTCAGTGTGTTCAGCACTACCTGCCGTGAACAGCTGGCCAATGCACTTCGGGTGCACAGAGTCGGAGGATTGCTTGAGACGGAATGAATTCGATCAAATATGTCCAGGTACCGCAGCATCCGCCACTGTCGTCATGGCTGACCGGCTTAGTTGGGATGGGGTGAGGGTTTAGGGCATCGCAAGGGTGCAGATATTGCTGAAAATATTTCGTCGGTTTAAACTTTACTCTGTAGAGGAATTTATGCCATCCGCTGTGCCACTAATTTGTTAGGTGAAGTTATGAAATTTTTAGAAACTATAATCAGAACAGCAAATAGGTAGGGTTGGGCCACCCTCTCTATGTGTCCTCACTTCTTGTGTGTCTGTTTTTCAATCTTAATGAGAAATTATTCAATTGACACAATAAAACTATTTCGAAGTCTTAATCGCTAAAGTAATCCGCTTTCAGCTTGTGAATTGTAAAAGTTGCAAATCGATAACGAGTCTCGATGGGTCATTTTTGGTTTTTTGCTTTTACTGGGCCGTGTTCCTTTTTTTTCTTTTCTACCAGAGTTTACTGGCATCTTAAAGATCGGTTTGACCACTTCCTACACGAATCGTTTGGAGATGATATGAAGTTCAAGCAAGTGGATATCTAGTGACTTTTCGAATACTTCTCAATCGCAACCCGAAGAGTCACAGCAGCTACCTTGTCACTCTTCATTTATGACAAGGCTCAAAAAGGCGCTGTGAAAGGGGTGCAGTGTGAACATGTGCGTAAGTTGCTTGCTAGCAGTGCTAGCATGCCGTTCTAACTCTGCTATGGAAAGGTTGCTGCCGGCACTAAACCATAGATGAAGGTTTCTGAATGGTATCGCTTCATGCTGCTATCATAAAGCAGTTTGTCGTGGAATGCGTGACAGTTGGTTTAAAAAATCAAGTGTCATAAGTTGACTTGCCCAATGTTTGTTTCCGTCCATTTATTGAACTAAACACGTAGAAGATTACAAATATAAACTCCACGTTGCTTCTCTATTGTACTGAGATGGAATTATAAATGGATTGATGAATCTTGTGGAATAGGAGAATGCACCGCCTGCAAGATTTATAGTAGCACTTTTAACACAAGCAAGTCGTACGCTACGTAATGTCGATTTCTCTTCTTGGTTGGAATTCTTTCGGTCCTCCCTGCACACCTGGAAACTAAACCTTCAGGTAATATTCAAGGTACCTACACGTATATTAATGCTCATTCGCCTCTGCCATCAGTTGACAGAGAAGAGGTGGAAGCTTGGTCCTCGACAAGCACGATGGTTCTATTTAGATTCCTGCAGGAGAAGGATGTGTTTTGAGCTGTTTACTACAAGCAGCTTCCGCTAAAGAGTTACTTCCCTGCTCAACTCAAAGAGCGTATCTGACGAATTCTGAGAAAACAGTGGATTTCCAAACTAAAAGGTATGCCTTTCTTCTTAAAGCGTATATCGACGTAATATAGGTACTGCTCTACGGAAGTTATTGCCCCACTCTACTGCAAGGTACTGCTACCTTATTGAAGGTGTTGGTCCCTTATAAAGTACCACCTCCATCAGAAGTTGCTGCCTTTACTAAAGCGGACTTGCCTACCGATTGCAGATACTCTCAAAAGCTTTACGACTCTGCCTTCTATTATGTAGGGAAGAGGGTGTAGTGTCAAGATCACAATATGAGCCAGTTTTATTGCCTCCATTTGTAGACGGCAATGTGGTTGTCAGTTTCACCTCCAAACTGGAAGTATTGTTCAATTGACATTTGACCTGTGTTTCTAATACAACTATGGACGAATTCAAAGAGGCCATGCACAGACGGAAGTTATTATATTATGGTGTTTACGGTTTTACAGCTTATTCTCTTCATAATATGAGTTTGCTAACATTTTCAAATTGTCCACCAAAAGATCTTCCTATAGTGATGGTTCTAAAATTCTGTTAGGAAGCTGTTTGCCCAAATAATTTCGGTCATGTTGTGCGTATTCTTAATTTTTTTTCTTCTTTTTGCTATAACGTTTTGTTATTGTCTTACCAAGTCTTGCCAGGTGCCCAGACTCTTAAACAATAATTTATGATTTAATACATATGCTGATGTTAGTTTTGATCTTAGTTGTTAACAATATCGCAGTTATTTTGAAGTTTGAATGATTCATAGTTAACATATCTACTTTTTGCTGTTCAGATTAACTTGCACGGTGTCGATCTATATGTCGCGCGTGCGGTTTACAACTGCGTTTCTGGCCTACGCAGTCGTCGTCACCCGATGACGATTCCAGCTGCACCCCGCCATTGCATTTTGAAATTTTTAAAGAAGGAAGAATACAGGCAGCTAAACAGTTCAGCACACCCCCATAAAGTTAATTGTCTTCATAATTTGTTGTTGATAATGTGTCTGTCTACAGTTCGTTGTTATGAATGACATGTCCCAGGTATATGTTAAATTGCCAAGTCTATCCTCGTTAATGCTTTATAACCAGTGGTGGCATTTAGTGAAGTCCTTCATAATGCCTTCTGTGAAAGTACGAGCATGTATTGAGATGAACGATAAACCAGTCCATTATTTGTTCGTGAAAACATAAAAAAACAACGACCTGCACTGCCTGAGAAAAACTGTTTATCGTCTTGAAATTCACGTTGATCTCTGTAACGGTTGCTGATTGATATGCATATTAATCTCTCGATCACCACAGCAGGATAACCCTTGGTCTTCTGCATTGCCAGGTTTCTACCTAGCGAGACAGCGGCGCGACAAAACTGACGTTGCCAGCCTGCAAACTCGCGATCGGCTGAACCTCAACGCGGACCTTTTCGCAGCATGAAGGAGGCGAGGCGGTGCTAGCACCAGCACAAGCCAGTAGAGCGTTACGCCGCGCAAGCACATCATTCAGGATCTCGACCTGTACCAGATGGTGTGTGCTTGATGGCTGTTCAACCAGAGGGACAAGCCTCACGTATGAGCGAGTGATGGAGTGCATGCATTTTGCTTAGTTTGGGCTGCCCTAAATGTGCAAGATGTTTGGAAGTTAAAAAAAAAAAAAAAAAAAAAAAAAAAAAAAAAAAAAAAAAAAAACAAACAAAAAAAAAAAAACAAAAAAAATGCTTTTGAGTGCTAGGCACTGCGCCTGTATTGCGTTTATGTAATGTGCGATAATGCCAGCTGTTGTGTTGATAAAGTGCCCGTTCAACCAGCGCAGTATTTCCTGATTAGGCCACGTTGAATAACGTTGGCTGATCATGGGCGTACGTTTGATTTCGCCAGGAGATACAGAGCGAAAGCCGGATATAGGGAGAGAAGGACTTAATTCGAGCCCTCCAGTCACTTGGGCGTTGTCGGCAAGCTCACTCAGCGGAATACTAGTCAAGGAACCCAAGTGTAAAAGAAATAGTTTGAGTTGCAGTACTAAGTGGGGTAACTTCTTGTTTATAACCTATCGTGCGAGTGTTTAGATTGTTCAGGTTTTGTTTGTGCGGTAAAATTTTCATATTTGATTTGAATATACATTTGTATGGCAAATAGTCAATCCCTATTGTTGTTTTTTTCATCAGTTCATCTGATGTCTCCTAACATCCATTCATCTGCTCAGTTGTAGGAATGTTTCATATACCTGTGACAAGATATCACTCACACGATGTAAATGCGTGACTTCTGGCATGGATTGCCATCGTCCAACAGTGGCTTGGCCAGGCTGCGTAAATAGGAAGGCGCCTCTAACCATGAACCAGCAGCAGCTCCGATAAAGCCAGTTATGCCCTGCATAGGAACAATTTTCCATACGACCATTTATTAGGATACTGTTATACTTTATGAGCGATTATTTTATACCGTTTCGAATGTCCTTATAAAATATTTTTGCTTTTATATGGTACTAAAGCCTGTTTTCTTGTTTAATTTCAGAGCCATCTTCATTTGTTCTACGTTAAATGACCAATTATATCCAAGCTACACTCGAGTGAGCATCCAGGCCAGGTAACGTGCATCTCACATGCAGTACTATGTTGTGATGAGAAATGCTCGTAAACTGGTGGATCAATAGGATGTGTGCAGTAACAAATAAGATATCATATCTATAAATACTTCGAATGTGGAAGCGTAATCATCACATTTATTTGAGTTTATTGATCAGGTCACCTTAGTTTATAAGCAGCACACACGGTCTTCTTAACAGAGAAATCGAATTAAGCTCACTAGTGCAAAGTCTTTGAACGTTAATAGGCGAGCGGTACTATAACGCGTATGGGTTTTCAAAAGTGGCGCCCCCTGTTTTCGGTTAAACCTAAGTCAGCACAATGATATTAGTACACGGGTTGTTATAAGATACGGTGTTATTTGTTGTAAATCATAGGTCGGTACTTAAAACTAATTAGTGTCAGTACTCGTGCTTTACCACAAATTTCATTACCGCGACTAGATTTCGTGTATTTTTGGTCAGTTTTAAGAAGCACTGATATAGTACAGGTTGTTTGTTCGCGTCTTGCAGTGGTTGCGAAGGGTGAGTCGGATCCTGAACGCAAGGAGACGCGCAGCAAGGTGGGACGAGCGAACCGCAAGCACGAGCGATAGAGGCGGCCATCGGTGGCGCATCATGAAGGCTAGGAAGCGTATGCAACATAACGTGCTCGTCACCGAGGTACGTGCCACTGCTCTGCTGCGGGGGGTGGTGTGGGCGCGTTGTGGGGGTGGGTTGCGTCTGTAGGGTAGCGGGGGGGGAAGGTGAGATAGGGGTGGGGTCTACTGGGCAGTTGGGTGAATATTTTTTGCATTGGAAATACTTTCTTGCAGGAGGACTTTTTTCTTTCTTTCTTTCTTAGCATTTATTACTGGGCAGTGGGGTGAATATTTATTGCATTGGAAATACTTTCTTGCGGGTTTGGGGAGGACTTGTTTTTCTTTCTTTCTTTCTTAGCATTTATTACTGGGCAGTGGGGTAAATATTTATGGCATTGATTCCTTTATCATTGGATTGCATTTGTTTAATGTCAGAAGATTTTTATAACATTTTTGTGGATACGGATGGTCCAGCCGTGGAGTAATTAGGCGGTTAGATGTCAGTCCATGGTCATCCCATGTTTCTGTAGTTCTAATACAGGATTTTTGTTGCAAGTGATATTTTTACAAGCCTCACCTTATAGATAAAAAAATTGGTGATTAATATGTTTCCACAGTAGTTATGTTTTGCAGTAGTTTACAGTAGTATAAAGGATATGGTATCAGCAACTTAGCACGTGAGTTGTAGTACAGTGCTGGTTTGTATGTTATATACTTTATAATTTCATTCTCAAAACAAGCCCTGGCATATTTTTCATCTCTGTAAACCTGTGTTGAGTATTTTTAAACACGTACATTGTCAGAGATGAATGCACACATTAGGATTGCGTCATCGTCAGAACTGTTTGCTCATGCGTGTGTTTACTAGGAGGTTTAGGTGCGTAACTAGTGCAGAAAACTGTAACGAATTGCAAACATTTTCTGAAGCGCTAATGTCATTTCAAAAGCCAATCTAAATCATTAGCTGTCTTTGTTGCCTATGTGCTTGCCAGAGTACAACATGTAAAGTTATTGTGCATTGTGAGTGTAGCTAGATTTTAGAGGATTATACGCTCGCGGGGTGCTTGACTCGCCAGTAAGAGTATGCGGGTAGTACAGTGTGGTCAGATTGCGAGCGACGAAAACCAACATGTTACAGGCGATCCACCCATTCCTGCTCCGAAATAGCCTCACCGCAATATATATCACGCGTGTCGTGGCATGTTGTATGGACTGCCTTCATATTGACGTGGATAGAATCATGATGCGGTTGCAGAGCGACTTGATGTTATTCAGCGGGCCTCAATCTGTCAGGTGTGCTGCATGATGCATGCACACGAGTTGATTCAGGGAGTATTTGTGCAGTGGCTACCCTGGAATTTGTCAATGTTCCTGAGGCTGTAGTGGCTCGTAACTAATATTTATTCTTCAGGTTAACAGCAGTTGAAGGCGAGATTCCTTCCAAGGCCTTGTGATCATCAAGAAAAGAATAGAGAGGACTGATTGAGAGGAGAGTATTTAGCAGAACACCAGAGATAGGTATGGACGGCTTATAGTCACAGCTTATTGGATGAGATTAGGTTTTAGTATAAAATATAAGTTGATTGCAATAGACCAAGCTATGGGATGTGAATGAATTATTGTGATATTGAATATTATATACAGGGAATTAATTTCCCGGTTATCGCATCGCCAATTCGCGATGTATTTTTCAGCCATTTGTACGCCCCATATTTTTTTATGAAATCGAGTTTTGCCGATGCAGCCCATGCGAATGTAAACGGAAAACGAACTGTTTACAATTTATTTTATTCTCGGGCTGCTTTGCCCCGTCTCTGAAATTGCCACGTTACGCCGATTTTTATGGACTTGTTAACACCAGGCCACGCCTGACTTTTAACAATCCTGCACTCCCCCCCCCCTCCCGTACATCAATCAATATGCCGCCCCAGGCACGTTACACACACAGCCACGCTGTGCATGGCCGCTGGCACGCTTCTCGCGGCCTGCTTTCTTCGGCGACCTTCTGATAATATAAAAGTGAGTTTTGATGTCGTGCCGTCGCAGGGAGTCGGTATAGCCCGCCCTTCAGCAATCGCTAGAACTGTATTTCATCAATGACATAAATCCAACCGTTGATATAATATATAAACGTAAGGAAACCAACATTTTGATTAAAGCTTTAGACAATTATTTTTTACGTCGCCAACACGGAGCGAGTCAGTTTTAGCTTTGTCTCGCCGATATATTATTTTTCACTCGACATTGGCGAGCGGTCGCGAGTGCCAAAGCTCGCCACGCTGCTTTAAACGCTGCGGAGCGTACAGCAATCGCTAGTGTCCTAAGCTAGCTTAAGCTAGCTGTGCCTGCACAGGCCGACACCGGATAACACGGCCAAGCATGCACTGCGGTTTTATGTAAATTGCACTGTGTTGTCTGAAAAAAAATGCTATTACTAATTATTTTTCTATCAATTGCTATGCAAAATTTATTTTGTTATAGCCCACATTTGCCTATGCAAATTTTTTGGCTGGGGGAATTAGTTCCATGCTTATATATTAATAATTGTGAGTAAAGATAGTTAACAACCTTGCAAAACATGTTTTTAAACAATATGCCTGTGTGTATGTGCGTGCGTGCGTGCGTGCGTGCGTGCGTGCGTGATTGTAGTGTACAGGTTGAACCATTATTCACTTATATGGAAATATTTTTTAAAGTCACCTTTTTTATAATGAAAGGCGTTCTCCCCCCCCCCACTAGCAGCATTGTTATGAGACACATGAGACGCAGTGTATCTGATGTGAGGTTTCGCGTTACTTGTTGCAGGAAAATGTACACGTATGTGGCGTAGAGCATTACTGTGTGGACTACGGATTGCCACTGTGAAACAGACGTAAGCAGCAGAGGTTCCATTGCACCATATGTCTTGAGGTAGACTGGAGGCAGCATTGCTAAGCAGATTGGAAGCATCTTTGCTGAGCAGACTGGAGACAGCATTGCTATACAAACTGAAGGTGGCATTGCTCCACGAACTGGAGGCAGCATTGCTACACAACTAGAAGGAGCATTGCTACACAAATTGGAAGCAGCATTGCTACACAAACTGAAAGCAGCATTTGCTACACAAACTGGAAGGAGCATTGCTACACAAAACTGAAGGCAGCATTGCAATATAGATGCAGGCCGTGTGTTGCTTAACAGATTTTTCTGTGCTGCTAAGCAGCAGAGTCTGTGTTGCTAAGCAGCAGAGTGTGTTGCTAAGCAGCAGTCTGTGTTGCTAAGCAGCAGAGTGTGTTGCTAAGCAGCAGAGTCTGTGTTGCTAAGCAGCAGAGTCTGTATTGCTAAGCAGCAGTCTGTGTTGCTAAGCAGCAGAGTCTGTGTTGCTAAGCAGCAGAGTTTGTGTTGCTAAGCAGCAGAGTCTGTGTTGCTAAGCAGCAGTCTGTGTTGCTAAGCAGCTCGGGTATTCTGACTGCTGCATGGTTTGGCGTCCAGGGGGTGGAACACGGTAGTATTTATAATAGCGTACAGTTTGTTCTGTCCACTGCAGCCGTTGGAAGGGTGCGACTGTATATATGAGCTTGCCGTAAAATGAAACGTTTTAGTTTGTCACTCTGTTTTTCAGATCGATGAAATGCTAGTGTATGTCTAAACAGTGCATCAGTTCATTTTCAATCATCTGCTGCGGGCGAGTCGGGAGGTTACCGCTGTAAATAGACGCTCGCCGTAAAAAAACGAAACGTATAATAGTCTGTCGCACGGTTTACCGATTGATAAGAGATACTAGCGCGTGCACGGAGGCAGTTCGTTTTCGAATGGCTGCCAATGATCTTGGTGTATTTTCTATGTACAGCAGATAAAAGTTACCCAATATCGTGTTCCATGTTGCGCAGGGGGCTGTCTACATTGTAAATATCCAAAATGGCGACGATGAACACTGGTGTTTTTTATTTTTATGAAATTGTCGCTTTTATTAGAAGTCAGGAGGGGCTCAGCCAGGGTAGGCAAGAGTGGGTAGTTCACAGCAGTAGCAGGCTGTCACGAGAGGCTGTGGGTATCGTCACTCGCAAAGTGGTCGGCCCAGGAGTGGCCGCGTGCTATAGATTAACACCAGTTGCTTGTACGCGATGTTTGCGCGAGTTACATTGCTAGCAGAGTGACACGCAGATAGTCACAAATAGTCGGATAGCCGTCGTCGTTTAAAATTATGAATCATGCGTGATGGCCTGCTGGGAATTTCGCAAACAAAATGGCCCGAGTTTGTCCCCCTTGCCAATGGCGAAGTTTACCCGATCATTTTCAACGTAACGCGATCAGTTGGCTAGCCACCAGAAGGTGCTTTCTTCATGCCAGCAAGTGGTTTTGTTAGTTGTCTGTGATGGTGGCTGCTTTACTGTGTGAAAGTACCACACACGCAGCTCTACTTTCTGAGTGTATGACGCTATGATAGGTTTCCATGTGTACCTAGCTAGCTGTTACGTAAGTGTTCAGGTGATAGAGATGTTAACTCTGTTGGGTGTTATCTAGACGCGTGCGCCTGTAGCACATATGGATGCAGACTGGAGCAGAGGTCTACGAAACCACTGCTTTGTTATATAGGGAAGACTTGCTGCATCTATACATTGTAATGTTTTTGCCGCTATCAGGAATAAAGAACATTGGAGTTGAATCGCTGCCCAGGAGTTATTTTTTTCATATTCTGGCTAAAGTGGTTGTCGTTGCTGCATAGGCAGCAGGTTGCTGTAAATAAACCTGGATTTTAAGCTCAGCTGACGAAGTCCGTCCGTGTGTCCGGCCGTGTGTCAAGAGTTTCAGCGCTGACCTACCATTTTTATCACTTTATTGAAAGGACCATGAAATGTACTTTCCGCTGACGTGCGAAGAGTAAGTGTTTGATTACCTTTTGACCCTCAAGAGGAGGGTTAAACATGGATTTGTTGACTGTTAACAAAGGACTGAACTGCTTTTGCTATTAGAGCCCGCTCCCCCCGCCCCTCCACCACCCTCCCCCCAAAATATGTTTCACTGTGTTGAGCTAAAAGAGTTATAGTGACTACCGGTGTGTTTTGAAAATAATTTCCTGTAATCTTTGTCATATAAGTACGAGCGCTGATTCACAACACTGCATGGTCACTGAATAGTGCAAACCCTCTACGCTGTCCTTGTTAAAAACGTTAAAAAATGGGTAAACCCTTAACACTACCTTTTATGCATGTCCTGTGTGTGTGTAAAATGTACACAAATGCATAAATAGATAATGAGATAAATAAATAACTAATAAGGTTTATTAACACATTTTATTTTCACGCTTCAGTTTGACAACGCAACGTTTGTCTGAGGCACATGAAAGAGCAAAATTTATTAGCTCTATGCGGTAGAAGAGGAAAAAAAGAAAAACCCTGTGCTGCGGGGGTATTGTTACATCCTCATATAATATTCACGCTGCGAGCTAATTACGTTTCCCCCCGCATCCACTATTTGTCTATTCTCAACAAACAAATCAATGCAACCACTCTGACGAAGTGACGAAATATGCTATAGTAGCGCGACATGTATACTGGCGTTTTCACGTGCTTCACCGGGGGAGGGGGGTGCACTCCCTATATATTGTATGGTAGGTATGTGCCGCGGTTATGACCCCTCTTTTCACATATTTCCCGTCCCTGCTCCATCTCTCAAGTGGCACATACCTACCCTATTTTGTAGGGAGTGCCCCCCCCCCGGGGGTGCTTCACTCGTTCACTGTGCGATAATCTAACCGCGTTGCTCTTAGGTCTAAAACCGATTGAAATATATATTACACCACAGTTGCAAAAATCTTCTTCGTTGAAGCAGCGAGAAGTGTTCCTGTTTCAACAGTGCGTATTCACTCTTACGATTCTCTCAGTGCTACCTACCAGTAGTAGTAGCCTCAGTCCATAGTCCGATCTATATATATCCCAGTTTTAATCACAGACTCCCAATTTACTAGTGTCGGTGTCAGTCTCCCAACACCTCCTAATCCACTTTCCGAATCTACCAGCCCCAGACGCATTCTTCAAATCGCCTAGCCTCATACGTATAGTCTCAGACGTAGTTTCAGACGTCTCAGTCTCAGGTAGGTCTGAGACTATAGTCTCAGGTAGGCCCTACGGTCTCAGATGATGTCTCACCCGTGTAACACGCAGTTATTCTATCGTGAATCGTAATAGTGGTACGCGTCGGTGAGGTACACCGCTGCTACAACGTCTGTCATATACAACACATAAACAACAAATGAACTGATATGTACGTATTATAAGCAGAGTAAATATTTAATGAAATATATGCATAATGACAACATGCGTAATGACATAAACATATGAACAATGTATAATCCCACAAAGGGGTAGTGACGCGTACATATGGTTGCGCTGTGCATGAAAGGTAACTTACGATTTAAACGGTTGATATGCGGTGCAAGCGAACGCAGAGACGACCCACGGATTATGTCATAGGTT